CGGAGGGGGGCATAACTATGACAGAGGAAGTTAATGACTGCGCGCTCGCGAGTTGTTGCAATAAATCTGACTCCGCTTTCAGCCCAGATTTTCGTACCTTTGCGTTGTTGCCGAATTGAAGCATGTTCATTTAAAGTATGTTGTACATTTGTCGTTCATGCATGTTGAATTCTAGGGTATCTGAGGAGGTTAATCACTGCGGCACTGCAAGTATAGGAGCAATAAGAAGCTACCTCAATACATGAGCGACCTAACTCAAAAGTAGCGAAGTTCCGCTTATTCCTTTCCGAACCCGTGATTCCCGGTCCATTCCAGATTATATAATCTTCGCAATTGGTTAGATGTAATCTTCATTCTCGTTTGTGACACTGTGGAGGCCTAAAATACAGGTACCATTCGGAAATGGATTCACACTGTCTTAACTCTCAGTATACAGGAACTTTAGTCTGCAGGGCCGGACCCCACAGTTTTAGGGCTCCGCGCTACTGCCATACTGGCTGGCTCCATTTGATCCGAACAGGTAGTGCTCAGCACTATATATTTTTTCCGTGATTTCACTTTGGCCAAACTCAGGGTCCACTGACCACCGCTGCTCGGGGAGCCCACGTTTTAGTGAGGTGAATCCCCCGACAAAAGAGAAAACCTCGGAGAGGGGAAAGGTGGTCGGGGGTCGGGGCGGTGAAGGTGGTAAGCGCTATCTCGTCGAGGCATCTTGATTTATTCAAAACGGGACACTGCACAACACGCAACTCCCCCGCGTCCACCGCCCCTTCCGCTCTTGGGGACGGAGGGGGCGCCGGCACCCTTCCAGGTGGACGCTTGACCACTGACCCCTTGCTCGGAAACTTGGGGATGAACTGACCTAAAAACGCCGGAAAATATCAATAAACGACCTCCTGCCAGAGAGATTCAACCCTCTTGCACGATTTGTATTTTGGACCCGATTTATGATGCAACACGGAGAAAAATTAGGTAGCATTCATCATAATCTGGTCAATAAACTGCACAACAGAAAGTATGGTAATTTTCATCAAAATTATCGTAAAAGTAACAAGATTTTCCCTTATTGTGACAATAATTTTGGTGGAAGTTACCATACTGTCTGGTTGTGCCAGTGTACGGTAAATGCTACCTAACTTTTTTCCCCTTGAACCAAGAGCGTTCCATGACGCGCATCCAGAGGGGTTTTTTTTCTCACTCGCGAGAAGGAGAGTTCTATTGCAGAGTTATATTTTAAGTCTTATTTTTAAATCGAATGATTTTATTAAATCTTAAAAACTTATGAAGAATATTCTTTTCTTTAAAATAACATGAATTTTGGCTATTTTGTCCTGAAGTTGAGATTTTTACCCGAAAAAATTTTCTCGGACGACGATGATTAATTTGACGCAAAATTAAATTGAACCGATTATTTTCCAAATCGTGTAAGCGCCAATCTCTCTTTTGGTGGTAGAGGGGTTGTTTTTTCTTTGCTTTATCTGGTGTATGTTATCAATCATTTCTGCTTTTGAAATAACTTTCTAAAAGGACATATCTCTTTGGAATTAGAAAATTATCAAAAAAGCGTATGAAACGGGTTTTCTTCTTTTCCTCGCATTCGCAATTTTGGCGCTTACGTGATTTAGAAAATAATCTGTGCAATTATTATCGCAGCACCGTTGTAAATTGTCCCTTTTTATTATCTTGTCAATTTTACCAAAATAGTCTTTCACTCTCTATACCCGAGATTTATCGAGGATTTTTTACATTCTTGTATCGAGGTACTCTAAAATATACAACTTGCTCATCAAAGCACTCAGAAATTCAATTAAATCAGGGGCTAAACTTACCAATGAGTAAAAGAGTGAGATATATGAGGATGCTTTGTTCGTAGTTTCCCATCGTCACATCTTTGTACCTTCTTTTCATCCTTCCTGTAACAAAATTTAACAGGATCAAGTCACAATCAGGTTGTTTTTGCAACAGAATTGTCTTTAGGTTGTTGACAAAAAACGATACCTGTCTGATTGTCAATTTTCTATGTCTGATGATGACATAGATTTCACATGTTGAAGAACACGATATCGCAGTGGCGTGGCGTGCTTTGCGATACATCGATTGATCTTCCATTTAAACCCATGGAAAAGGATCGATAAACAGGGCGTGCTTGCTCTTTGTACTTCTCTTCTGTTGTTTCTTAGCCAGAATTTCACGTAAAACATTATTCTTCCATCAAATACTGAAATCAACACCTAACTAAGATATTAACGTTTTAATTTTACATTGGTTACGGAAAATTTGATTTGCCCGGTCACAAGAATCACAATACTCTACGTGAGTCAAATCGCGCACTACAACGGTTTTTGGGAGGCTTTAATCAAACATTATTCATTTCCCACCCTTTATTGTTCAAAGTGTAAACAATTTGCTATAGCCGAGCCAAAGCATCAATATCGAGGCTGCCTTATTTTCGTACCGCAGAGACTGCCACGGTACCATTTAGTTGATTGCGGTCTGATATATACGTATGATGTTTTCATGAGCGGGAGGTTTGAATTCACGCGTCAGGAAGAAATAATAAATATCCTGGTTAGGAATTGATTTCAATATGTGTCGCGCGAATGGTGTTCTACGTGAAATTTTGGCTATGAAGCATGTATCAGAATGCTTATAACACCGTGCTTTGTCTAGTGGTCCATTGTGAAAACTACATATATTTATTTTATAAGATGCTGTAGATTTTGCGATAAATGTGCATTTAAGGACTAGCCCTGGTAAAAATTGGCGATAGGAGCTGCGTTTCAAAATACCATAGGTGTTCTTTTCGCCGACTGAAGATGAAGAAAGCGATAGAAAATCATATACCTGACTGTAGAAAGTGGAAAAAATCATACGGCCGGGCTACATGAAGCGATCAAAAATGTCCTGTCGGAAATGTTCCTGTAGCCGGGCTTTACACTTTATCGCCTGGCTATTGCTTTTTCGCCATCGGCTATAATAGGCTATAAGACATTGTGTAGAAATTCGTGTGCTTTGTAAATCCTTAAGTTTGTACGGAATCACCATAATATTTACAGAACGCACATTATATTTTCCTTTAATACATATTTTTTTTCATCAATTACAATACGAATAATCCATACAGGATGTGCAAACATTTCAAAGTCATGAGTTGAACAACGCTGACTCCACGAGATTAAATATTAGAGCCTAACACAAAGCGGAGCGGCGGCGCGCAATGCGTGAAGTATCCCTGTTAGGTTTGTAGGCGCCAATGCGCGTTTCGCGCTGGCTGCCCGCCCGCCGCGCCGCGCCGCAGCGTACCACGGCGCTTAAAGCAACTATTTTACACCAGAGGTATTGCACAGTATCGTACGAAATTGAAGGCGCTCCAACATATTAGGAATGGCAGGCAGCCCTCAAAAGTACGGAGCTTCCCTCGCAAAATAAATGAAGATACTACGGCGCAAAAAGAGAGTGGTGGTCCAAAAACTCACCAAGTCCTAGCATCCATAATTTGTAACATTTAGCATACACTTTATCGTCAGGCTGTTGCTTAATCGCCATCGGCTATAAAAGGCTATAAGAAATTGTGTTGCCGGCTATAGAAGCTATTGAAAATCTTACAGTCGGCCGTAGGTCTATGGTATTTTGGAACACAGATTCTACTGCCAATTTTTACTCGGGAGTAGAAACTTATTAATGATTGTACGACGGAAATTCTTACAAAGAATTCCTTCACATATGATAAGAGAATTGGACGTATCTCTGCCAAACGGAACTACGTGCATTATGACGTGAGCCCTGTTATCCATATACCCTTATGGGTCTCAGGGCTAATGTCTTGATGCACATAGTTCCGTTTGGCAGAAATCCTTTCAATTATTTTGTCTATAGTCAGCAAAGTAATCGGAATTTTAGTCCAAGTAAGAATATTTGACTATTTGTCTGGGCATTTAAGCAAATGCCTGATTTGAGTATTACTCTGCGACATAACCATGGTGATGCTTCCGAACATTGAATGTGGGAGGGGGCATTATTATGGTTTGCTGAATTTACAGGTTAATGACTCGCTAATGACAATTTGAATCGCGATCAGGCCGCCGCCGCGGCAGCCAACGACTGAAAACAAACAGATTCGGATCGAAGATGAAAAAAGCGGGACGAACATGACATCCACCGGAAGCTCGCATCCGCAGCGCTGCCTCCCGTCACTCGGATTCCTCATCCCAGCTCCGACCGCGAAAAAGTTCACCGTCAAATTGTCAGATCGCCCCGAATCTTAGCAAATATCGGGTGTGCTGGTGTTAGTTCTTGGGCCCTAAGATGAATGGGAATCATAAAGCGCCATAGTGACGTCAGCGCTAACGACAGGAGCCATCTGAGGAGCTATGCCCCTGAGACTCATGAGCCCTGTCCACGAGGCTCTTGTCACACGAGTCCCTCATTCAGTTGGCACATAGTCCCGTCAGGTGAATTTAAAATCCCGCTTTCCCAATTCTTCAAAAGGAATCAAGCCCTCTTTTACATTGTTCCTTATCCAGCTCACCGCGAGCACACTTTATCTTTCCCACCCGCACATAGTTCTATTTGGTAGAAATACGTTCAATTGCATTTATGTGACTAAAATAATTTAATCAGTGTGATTGACATGCTCTTCCTTAGTTATATTCTTGACATTAAATCTATTAATTTAATTTTTACCGTTCAATTACGTGTCGAGGACTATTGCCCTTTGGAAAAGGGGCCCAGGCCCCTTAGGGCAAGTTTAGGGGGCGATCGCCCCCTCGCTCCCTGAATTAGTCCGCCCCTAATGAGCGGTAGCACGGCTGTCTTAGGTTGTCTACAAGTTGCCTCTCTCTCTCTAAGGACGTCTAACCATGAAATGCGCCTCTCACCATAATTTTCATGCCTACCACGTAAGCGTCCAGTATGTGCTATTCTCGGCCTTCTTGCGTTCAACGGAAAATATATAAATCCCCTGGTAAACTTCCTCGATTCCTAACCATCCCCACGATTTCCCATTATCTGACTGGAGATTATTTGGAGCCATTCCAATTGCGATTGGGAGTCGCAGAGCGGGGCAGTGCGCTGAGGAAGCGGCTCGATATACAAATGGAGAGTTTTTTTTTTCAGTTTCATCAAAAAACTGAAGATACTTTTCCTTTGTATACACTGTCCTTTAAATGGCACGGCAGAAAAAAAATGCAAAAATAAAAAAGTACTTTCATACCTGGCAACTTTGCTTGCTTCTCCTCTCTCCTAAAATACTTTCACTTTGAGTTGCAAATCGACAACCCTGCAGCATCCGTCATCGGGCTCATATTGGACGGGTCCACCCGCCGCCACCGCTCGGAAAAGTCACCTGAGTGGAAATCGATCTTTATCGATATTCACTGCGATTATTCGCGCGTTGATTATAGGGTACTTGGAAATCAAGGAAAGAGAGATAAATCGATTTATCTCAAGGGGTTTTGTTTAAAATAATCCCCATTTAACTGACTTGGCAACTGTTGGCCCATTTTAATCTCCCATCGCAATGAGCCGATCCTGGTATACAGGAGAGCAACAACAACTGCTCAACAGTGAGCCTCCGAAACGCCACTTTTCCGTTCGACAAGAGTTCTCGATAGAGAAACTAAGGCACGGTATGAAAGGTATGCATATCTAGTTTTCTAGTAACTTGTCGCAAGAATTAGGATATCAGATTTAGATAGCGAAGGTTTTTGTCATTTACTGCTAGTGAGAGTTCAACCCTTAAGTATCAGTGACGCATACTCCGATAGACAGATTAAGCTTGAAACAGAATTTTTGCACAACGTCACTATACCTCGTTGAAAACCCTTCTTCCTCTACTTTCGCACTTATTGATCGAGGATGATTGAAGTTTGCATTAATTTCCCCCTGCTCATGATGAGTAGAGTCTGTCGTAAACATTTGCCGGAGCGATAAAATATAATTAAATAAACGAGAAGGAGTCTTGCTTCTACACGCTCGTTGTTTATTGTTTTAGTGGATGTAAATTTCGAACGTCACGTCTATCCTCATAGCACTAAATCACAAAATTACACAGTAAAACATCGGTAGTTGATGGAATATCACAATAAGAGTTGATCAAAAAGAGTTGCTTTTTATGAAAAAGACCTCCAAAACCACGAATCGCGCAGGCATCGGGAAAGTCTAAAACTTTCTCCTAATTTAAAAATATGAATAACAATTTTTCGCACTTCTCAGCTCAAAAATGCGTAAATTTCTTACGTAGATTATGAAGTTACGAGTGAATTTCTGTCTTTTGCGATTTGCTGATTGTGATTTTTAAGCCATTTTCCAGCAGAGATGAGTCCTCTCCTTCTGCTTAAGCAAAAGTTTTTGAGAGCCCACAGGTGGAAAATAGGTGAAGAAATTATGATATGTGCATTCGTGTGGTATAGATTATGAAAACCACCATATTTTTTGGAGGGCGTAAAGGCTTGGAATTGGGACAGATCGTACTATTGCTCACTATTAATCTTTAAAAATTATTAATCAAAATTAAATTTTGTAACATTTAAGACTAGCCAATTTGGACGAACTTTATGCCAAGTGACGAGAAATTTGCTCCGAATTAATAATAGTACCAAGCAGCACGGCAAGCAAAAGTTAATCTTTCGGTCAACATTGTTCGCCTAACTTTACCCGTTAATTTTCAATTTTTTACACAATGTTGGTGTTTCAAGGAGATGAGGATGAGAGGTCCATTGACAAAGTAAAAATAATTGCTATTTTTCAAATTCTCCCTCTATAGTCTGGAATAAATCAGAATATCGTAAACATTCTCCTAATAATACTTGGGTTGACTTTTCTACTCTTGCGTTCAAGTCTCCTGACCAAAAACAATGTAGTACTAGACATGATGCAAATTTAAGCAAAACGAAAAAAGTTTTCCCATCAAAAT